CGTGGTAGTTAGTAATAGTGTGTGTGTGTGTGTGTGTGTGTGTGTGTGTGTAAAAGTTACCGGAAGATGCCCAGAGTATTCTGCGAAGTCGTTTGGCTCGTGACCAGAATTACTCTAACGCAAGCCCGGTAACTAGAGGATCTATAGAAGAACCGACCCACGGTGGTTGACTCGGCCTGGCATCATCTGGCGAGGAAGCTGCCTGGGTCTAGGAGTGTATGTACCCATCTTCCCTCCCCCTTTTTCCTCCAGTGTGAGCCACTGACAGTCTGATCATCTCACTGGATGCAATGATAGTGAGCGGTGCCATCTCTCTGAGATTAGCCGACGCTCTTTGCTGAAGGGAGGTGTAGGAGAGTCGTGACCATCCTCGTTAGCTTCTCCTGTGTGAGTACCCTGTAGGGAGAGATCCTTAGTTTATGGGCTGCTAGCGTGGACAGGGCATCCTCCCTGTGTGTGTGATTGGAAAATGGGTGGGGGACAGTCTAAGCATTCCCTCTCACCCCCTAAGGGTACTCTTGCATATTGTATGTACATCCATTATGGTCCTAGAACCTGCAGGTATTTAGACAATTGGAATCTTTACACGTGTGAAAATCCATCTAAACAATGCCCACTAGAAGGTACCTTCAATCTAGATAAGATCATACATCTCAGAGGAGCTTTTAATCACCAAAAAGCCTCTGACACACAGTGGGGGCAATTTGTCTATTGAGGAAAGGAATGGGTTAATTTGAAATTCCCTTCCAAAAGCTGTCAGGCCTTCTCTGCTTCCACAACCCCCTGTTTTGTACTAGTAGTACAACAAACATTCTCAAATCTCTATTTGCATTAAGTCTTGGAATTCAGATTCTACCTCAGATGCTTCAACTTTAGGGGTTTTGATTGGATGTAATGACAATGCATGATTAGCATGGACATGAAAGGTGTTACCATTATTACGTCCTTTACAACAACAATAACATAATCCTAAACTAACTAATAACAACACAAGCAATAACATTCCCATAGCGGTAATATGATGGGGTTGTTGTACAGTTTTAGTCATAAAGCACAATACATCATACTTGTGCATAAAGTAGACACTCTATAAGCTGTATGAAAGGCATACTTTTCAACTTGATATATATTTTGAAGCATGTGAATTTGCCCTTGTACTTCAGAGATTCTCTGAACCTCTGGTAACAGTGAAAGCAAATTTTGAAATCGATCACTAAGCTGGTCCAATTAAAGGGTATCTGGAACCTAAGGGCTACTTGCAAAATTTTATCTGCAGGCCAGGAAATAATATGATTGCCTGCAGTGGTAACGAGATTAAAATGTATGTCTCGCAATGTGGTGGCTTTAACATACACACAGCTATCATTAGCTTGAAAAAGTACTTCTTTGGGAATTTCACTACTTTCAAGCAATTTAGCAGGTCTGGACCTCTCACCTCCTTTGTCATATAAGTGCTTCAGTACTGTTTCCCCCCTCAATTCTATTGCAAAACTGTAGGGGTAGCTCTCTGCATCCTGTGGGATATTAACTAGGATAGCCCTGTTCTGATCCACATCTCAGGTAATACTGCCTGGAGAACAGCTTCATTTAGTGAATCAGATACGTCTACATAAATCCAAAGCAACTCCGCTGCCTCCAGATTCATACTATTGTATCCAAGAGCACAACTTGGCTCACTATCTTCACTGTGAATAATTCTCTAGATATTTTTAATTGTATTTTGGACACCAGAGGGCAAGGCAAAACCAAAATACTTTACAGTGCAACCCTGAAAGAAATGGTAGAGCAGGGATCAGCAACCTTTCAGAAGTGGTGAGCCGAGTCTTCTTTTATTCATTCTAATTTAAGGTTTCACGTGCCAGTAATACATTTTAACGTTTTTAGAAGGTCTCTTTCTATAAGTCTATAATATATAACTCAACTATTGTTGTATGTAAAATAAATAAGGTTTTTAAAATGTTTAAGAAGCTTTATTTAAATTAAATTAAAATGCAGAGCCCCCCGGACCAGTGGCCAGGACCTGGGCAGTGTGAGTGCCACTGAAAATCAGCTTACGTGCCGCCTTTGGCACGCATGCCATAGGTTGCCTACCCTGTGGTAGAGCCATCTTTTAGGACTAAATTCTATCTATTCATCCAACCAGGTTCTTATAATAGTACCTCTCATCTTAATGCCTGAGCACCTCCGAGTAGTAAAAAAATATGACAACGACCTCTTTCTCCACCCCTTCCTTGCCAGCGAGTGGAAGTTTGGATTTCTTTATTATTAGTAGTAGTAGTTCTTTATTAATATTTTTGACTAAAAAGAGTGGGAGTATTGGCGTGGTTGAGGGGTCTATTATGGAAGAGCTTGGGTGAAGAGGTGGGCTTTGTATTTAGTGCTGACTGTGGTGACCATTCTTATTTCATCTGGCAGTGTGTTTGGTAGTCCTGATCTAGCTTCTGTGAAGGTTCAGTCTCCCATATTCATGAGCCTTCCCCACTGTTGACATTTTTGTTGTTTCAGACACAGTTCCTGCCCTGAA